TTACGATGAGAGGCGACATCATTTCCCAATAATGCAAAAGCCGAAAAATTTCCACTTCATTCTTGCACACTAGACTGCTCGGGAACAGTGGATACATGTGAATTTAAGACCATGTGACCACAGAGAGCTCAGCAGAAAAAAGTGAACACCCAGGTCATCACAATGGCTTCATTCAGAATAGCGTGCTACAATACTACATTTATACCAGATTAATGGCATGTGTGTGTGAATTTTCTGTTTGCACAAAATACTCATTTCATGTGTCAAAATGTGTTTCCCACAATGCAGTGCGTTCCTGTCACGTCCTACTATGAACAACAATCGATTTTGACTGCCAAAATGTAAGACATTTTACACAAAATCGGAGGGGAAAAACAGTAATTTAGCATCTTTTATTTACAAATAATAACTAGACTGCACTCGCTCAATTCAACATGCAACTTATTGATGTCACGTGACATGCCATTGTAGAAGAGACTATTAAGTAGGCTATATAATGTACATATTGCCAATAATGCAGTACGAAGTACACTAGTATGTCATATTGAACACAGCCTAGGAGTAAAACCCGTTTTTTGTGGTTAAATGTGAAATAATGTAATTGTAAACAAGTCATTAATGTCTGAACGGATCAATCGCCTACTTTTAGTCATGATACAGCTTTTAATGCCCTAAAAAAATACCCAACTCACTGTGAATCGTTATAAGGCAGCCTGATTCTGTAGGTTGTGTGAAATATTTTAGTATGTAGTATGTAGTGTGAAGACAGATATCATGTTTCCAGACACTGACTCTAGTGCACTTCAAAAGTCATTTTAACCAGCTAGAGGCGTTACCTTCATGTTAGACCCGGCATGTTTAATGTTCCGGATATTTTCCTTCTTCTCCTATAAATAGCGATGTCCAGTGTCGAGCTGCTTTGCTCTGGATGTCTGGCAAGGACGACCGCTGTGTGAAACCGAGCTCAGGCCTCTTCAGGCGCCGTTATCGAGGCGAGTACCAATAATGCAAAAGCCGAAAAATTTCCACTTCATTCTTGCACACGACTGCTCGGGGACAGTGGATACATGTGAATTTAAGACCATGTGACCACAGAGAGCTCAGCAGAAAAAAGTGAACACCCAAGTCATCACAATGGCTTCATTCAGAATAGCGTGCTACAATACTACATTTATACCAGATTAATGGCATGATAATAGTGTGTGAATTTTCTGTTTGCACAAAATACTAATTTCATGTGTCAAAATGTGTTTCCCACAATGCAGTGCGTTCCTGTCACGTCCTACTATGAACAACAATCGATTTTGACTGCCAAAATGTAAGACATTTTACACAAAATCGGAGGGGAAAAACAGTAATTTAGCATCTTTTATTTACAAATAATAACTAGACTGCACTCGCTCAATTCAACATGCAACTTATTGATGTCACGTGACATGCCATTGTAGAAGAGACTATTAAGTAGGCTATATAATGTACATATTGCCAATAATGCAGTACGAAGTACACTAGTATGTCATTTTGAACACAGCCTAGGAGGAAAACCCGTTTTTTGTGGTTAAATGTGAAATAATGTAATTGTAAACAAGTAATTCATGTCTGAACGGATCAATCGCCTACTTTTAGTCACGATACAGCTTTTAATGCCCTAAAAAAATACCCAACTCACTGTGAATCGTTATAAGGCAGCCTGATTCTGTAGGTTGTGTGAAATATTTTAGTATGTAGTATGTAGTGTGAAGACAGATATCATGTTTCCAGACACTGACTCTAGTGCACTTCAAAAGTCATTTTAACCAGCTAGAGGCGTTACCTTCATGTTAGACCCGGCATGTTTAATGTTCCGGATATTTTCCTTCTTCTCCTATAAATAGCGATGTCCAGTGTCGAGCTGCTTTGCTCTGGATGTCTGGCAAGGACGACCGCTGTGTGAAACCGAGCTCAGGCCTCTTCAGGCGCCGTTATCGAGGCGAGTATCGATTACAAATGTAGTCATGAGTTTCTGCGTCTTTACAATCTTGCGCGGCTCTCAAACTGTCAGCTGAGACGAATACTGTATAAAACAGCGCGAGATTAAACCAGTATGCAGCTACTTCCTGTTGTCATTGCGGATACACACCATCGACCCGCCCACCGAGCGACGTGATTGGTCAGGTTTGACCGTTGCCGTTTGATGATTGGACGATCTACACGTACGAGAAACTGTAGTCAATTAATTATAAATTATTTTATTTATTTATTTAATTTTTCAAATATGTACATACAAGATGAATATAAATTAAAACAATAGTCTGGGGCATCAAAAGGAAAGAAAATATTTAGGTATTTATTTGGTTAGTCAGATTTTACATTGATGAGGGGAAAAAAAATGTCCACACGTTGCAGTTTTTAAAGGAACACTCCACTATTTTTGAAAATAGGCTCATTTTCCAACTCCCCTAGAATCAGAAAATCGCAACTTTTCATTTTCCGTCAGTCTTAGTACACGATGTAACTACAGAAGAGGCAAGTTTTAATTAGGAAAACTCGAAACTCTTTGGTCATTTTTGAGCGAGATGCTAACGGTCTAATCAGATTCAATGATCTATGCTAAGCTACAGCTAAAAGTGCTACCGCCAGACCCAGAGATCGGCTGAATGGATTCGAAAACGGTAAAACTCAACTGTTTTAACTCTAGGGGAGTTGGAGAATGAGCCTATTTTCAAAAATAGTGTTCTTTTTTAAGTTGGTAGAAAAAGTTGTGTCAGACATTCACAATTACTTGTATAAACCAGTAAAAAGTCATGGTAGCATTATGCTTTGTTTGCAATTGAGTAAATTCTGCTTGCAGAGCACTAAAAGCATCATTATTGTGATCATGATAACAGTATTTAGCTAGTTTTTGTATTTACAAAAGGTAAGTTTGAGTACTGTTAACTAATAATCCATAAATGTGATGAGGTCAAAAGCTGTGACCAAAAGTCTATAACAATGCTGACTTGACCAAGAATCTAGCAATACTTTAGCAAACAGACAAAAAATAAAAACCCTAGCAACTCAAACAGACGAAGTTCAACATTCACAGTTTGTCTTGATTGACTTTCCAGTTCGAGTTAAGCAAATAAAAGAAGCATGTAATTTTAAACAATATCTCTTTATTAATTGACTACACACACTGCACCTCAGTTAATGGATCGACTGACATTTGCTGTAAATAAAAGTGATGTACAGAGCCAAATAAATAGAATAAATTAACAAATTCATGTCCAAAATGCCACATAACAGGTGATACAAGACTGAGATACTCTTCATTTCTCCTATATGTAGGACATTCACATTAGAACGGAATATCTTTATGTCTTTATTTACCTCTATGCACAGTATTGTACAGAATTTTGGACAGTTTGATAAAACAACAAAGAACGTATAAAAAAATTACATGAAATAAAGTGCATTCTCAAAAAAATCACATTTTATAGGAAATTACATTAAAAAACAGAAATATTCGCAAATATGGCCACATAAACACAAACACATAAGAATATATTCGGATACATACGAGTGGACAGCATACTTTTAATATGTGTGGATTCTTGTTTTTCAGTTCACACACTGCAGTGTAAATCAAACAATTCAGAATCGAATAAGACACAGGGCTTTACAGTACAGATTAAGTGAACATTATAAAACATTAGTCTCGTATTCGATCAGCTATAACAGTCACATGATATATAAAGTGGAAACATTCAGGCCAGTGAAGTGTTAGTTGCCTTTAACCACAACTGAGAGTTCATGCACGGGAAAGGGCCGAATATGACGAGAATGGTGTGTTACAAACATAACATTAGATACATTAACACATTCACCCAAAATCTTTACATTATTTTGTGCATATGTTGTCGTCACTTCTCCATTTCACTGATACATCCAAATAACTCTCTGATATATTCTGTCTTGAGTTTCTGTATACTACAATAAATAAATGTTTTTAATAGATATAAAGAAATCTCACTAACACTGGAGCCAGATATGAAACAGCAAAAGATATTTCAGATGACAGAGCTGCTTGAGAGATAAACAGCGTCAGAATACATTTACGGAAGGATTAATAGATATCTAAATGACTATCCAAAGGCATCATCATGCTACAGTAAATCAATACCTCTGTACGGTACTATGAAATACAAATAAATAAAGCACTCTTGGTCTTGTCACTGATTGCAATATAGGGTGTAAAATAGTGACAGTGTTCCTGTTAGCCATCAGATGGCAGCATAACTCCATCTATTCCTGCCATGCCTCAAATCAGTCATCATGATGTATATTTGTATTGTATTTAGCGATATGCTCATATGCATATTTATGCAATATGCTTATACACAGAATTAATAAATAAATGAATTTAAATGAAACAAAAAATGTTCACAAAATAAAGCGTCAAAATCTGACAAATGACTGAAAATGTCCAAGATGTGCAGTTTTGTGAGTCTTTTGAATGTACAAACCTTTGCAGTCTTTTTTAAATTTGCTTACATAATTATGAAATTGATAATACTGAGACAAATACAATTTATACTATTTAGTTTATTACTGTTTTATACCATTTCTTTACTATGTTTTACTACTAATACCATAGATAAACTATGGTTACTGTAGTAAACCACTGTTCATCTTCACAACCGTTTTCTAGTGATGTTTCATTGGAAATGGCAAAAGAACAAACGCTGCAAAAAAGCATCAGTCGCATCCCTACAAACATTTGTTTTGCATATGCTTAAGTGAAAACAGAGTTACTTTAGAACAAATGTTAGTGACATTTTCATTGCATGTTAGTAAACAACATTCAGATCACACAAAGAAACGCCAACAGAAGGCAGGCTACACCAGCTCCAAGTTGCCATGACAACAGTGACATTAACTGATGCTTGAGTAACTATAGAATATATTTACCATAAAATCCTCCTTCACTTTCCAACAATCATCATAAATGTGCTGATCCAACAATCTCTGTAATCAAGACCTGTGTTACGACGATGCTCATAAAGGATACCATCTAAAATTGTTGATATGCATTTAGCACTTACATTTTTTAAAGGTTTAAAAGGTTTTTAGTTTATGATTTTAAAACTCACATTTTAATAGTCACTACTCCATTGCAAAGATGCAAAGATGTTCAAAACCTTAACCACTTCTCTCATATTACTGATTTTCAAAATGCATTAGCATTCATTTCAATACACAGCTACTTTTAAATAGCTGTCAATGCCTCTTTGCAGCCAGATGGTGAAGTTATGACATCTACCAGCAGGGGCTAACCGGGGCATGCTAACCAGTCAAACCTTGACCCCTTACTATCGCAAACCCCCATGGTTGAAGAACTATTATTCAGGTAGCGAATATGAGACTTGAGCGCTAGAGTCACAGTGAGGTCAACGATCACTTTTAAAGAGAATTCAGTAGCACAGAAGAGAGTAAAGATGCACCAGCCTGTGTCAAGAGCTGTGGATAGCACTGACCTACTTGTGAGTATGAATCAAATCTGCCTGTAAACTTATTTACAGAGACACTGTAAGGCTAGAAACATACTCTTGGCAAGTATGCAAATATAGAGGTGCCTGCTTGCCAATGCACACTAAGGAACTGTCTTCTTCTATGGTAAGATCAATGGTTGTCTTGGAGGAACAACATTGTCTTTTTAGTTTAGTTAGTTTGGTTTGAGAATTAATAGCAAAGTTGATTGTATTGATTTAACAAGTTTTAGACTTTCCCCATTCAAAAGTGTACACCAAATGCACCAGTTTGCCATAAAGGGCCTATGATATTTACCTCAGAAGGCAGCGATCAACAAAATCGACAAAATGTCAACAGTTTCGACAGTCTTGATTCAGTATGATGAGAGATTTGGTTAAGAGGGAATTTGAATGAATCTATGGTTTAGCCAGCATCCTCCTCATGGCTTTATTTTTGGCATTTTTATGCCTTTTATTTCGATAGGACAGGAAGTGGACAGGAAGTGGGAGAGAGAGAGGGGGGGGGGTTTGGGAAAGGTCCGCGAGCTGGGATTCAAACTCAGGACGCCCGAAGCGCAATGGCTATACATGTCAGCGCGCTGCCCACAAGGCTATTTGTGCCGACATTCTCCTCATGGCTAAGGCAGTATGTACTATCTATTAATGGATATGCTAAACCTGATTAGAAACTCCTGAATCATGTAATAAGCAAAACAAAATACAGCAATGGAAGCAATGTGTCCTTGATTACGTTCTGTCTATGCCAAAAACTTGATAAGCTGTTACCTTGAGCAAATTCTTTTCAGTTTTTGTGTTTAAGGAAATGATGTGGTTGGTCACCTTAGAAAATGTAGGAACATTGTTTTGGTGTTCACAGTATTCAGCATTGTTTGATCTGTTAAAGCACTTTGCACTTGTCGATTTTTCACCTTGTTGCACAAGCACCACGAAACATGCACCCATTCACCTCCTTGCACACACAAACACCCAACACACATTCTAATATAATACACCTATACTCTTTTTCTGATGCAGCTCTGCGTGTACAATAGATAACAGCCTTTAAAATAACCTTGGAGTTGTTGTCCTTTGTTCAGCGTAATATGATTTAGTCTTTTTTTTTCACTGGCTGGAATGTCCCTAAATTTCTAAGTGCTCAAAAACATTGAATTCCGCTAAACCCTCAATAAAGGCAATTATTTTTTCAACTAGCAGACGATCAAGAGCCATTCTTAGGAGTAATGACAGTCTTCACCTGCGGGGAGGTGCTAGTAGGACTCTGACCGACTGCTTTGGAAATTGGTCTACTCCCAGAAGCAGGATCAGGTCTTCCTGGAGCACATGCCTGGGTGACCTCCAACGATTTGGTGGTATCTTTGGCCTTGGGCCCCTCCTGAGTTCCACCTTTAACAGGCCCTATAGATTTCCCTGTGCTTGTCACCTGTGTAGCCGAACCAGATTTCTCACCAGGAGACTGAAGTTGAGTTTTGGGCAGATCAGGAGGCACTCCAGTTGGAGAAGGAGTGGAGGATGGAGAGTGTTCCTCAACAACCTCCAAGAGACATTTGTCCTCCCAATCCAATGTTCCCCGGTAGCAGCTGACCGGAGCTAAGCCCTTGTCCTGCCTAAGTTTTCCCAAAGCAGAGCACTGCGCCTGGGGTGGGTGAGATGGGACAACCCCTTTGGATGGAGCAGTCCTCTGCTCTGGGAGGAGGCACCTGGGTCAAGAATATCAATAAATGTGACCATTAAACGTTTTAGTTGTTGGTTTTACCTTTTATATCACAAAATATGCTTTGATCTACTCACCAAGGTAGGATGACTCAGGGGTTGTGCGGTAGCTCTGGGTAGGGGAGTGACCGGACAGGCTGTGTGTCGGAGAGCCAGGAAGACTATCGCTGGATGACAGGGACCGGTTCAGAGATGACAGGCTACGGCTTGTGTGCAGCAGGTTGGATTGCTTAGTTATTTTGCGGAACAAAGACCCACGCCTCTTACTGTGAATGATCATGGAAGAAAAAGAGAGAAACAGATGGGGTAAGAAATAAGATATTCTTTATAAGAACAGTCTTCACAACTGGAGGCACATTGTACCTTTCCTGTCCCTCTTTGACCATCCTCTTACTGCGTCTAGCCATCTTGGACTTGTAACTGGACTTGCGTGCTGGTCCCACTTTAATGGACGTGTTCTCAAAAGGCGTTGTGGTCACAGTCACCTTGTTTCCACTCTGAACAAAGAAAAAGCAAAGAAACACATAGGACTGTTTGAACATTTATCATCTCAGATCATATGGATTCCTGAGGAGAGGTGTGTTATTTCTTCTCTATGCGGTAAATCTTACAGTACAATTTTTGCCTTGCTAAATAGAATATCTTACGTCTCACCTTAAGTATAAGCTCTACCACCTCGGTATGGACCAATCCATGCACAGATTCACCATTGACGTGAGTGATGAGGTCACCAGCACATAGTCCCGCCTCCTGAGCAGGGCCTCCATCCTCCACATGCTGTGATTGGTTAAGGACAGAAATACTAATTAATCCAACAAAGTTTCAATAAAACTATTGCTGCATATCTATTCCATACTCAATCAACTTTTTCTCATGCTGTGTTGCTGTCTCACCCAGACTATGTGGTGCACACTGAAGACGTCAGAGTCTCCCATGTAGACCCGAATGGCACGGAGAGTGAACCCATATTTTTTGCCAGAGCGATGGATGGTAATTGGTGAACGAAGAATTGTTACTGCAGGGCAGTAATCACGGCTGGGAGAGGAGTCTCGCGATGAGGGGTTGGACGAGAGAGAGCGTGGGGACATTGGACTGGCCAGTGGAGAGCTACCGTGCTGCTCAACTAGATATTGATAAGTCAATAATCAATATATTATCTTTTTTTCTGCACTTGGCATTATTTGTATAACAATTAAGCAATTAAGCAAATTAAAGGATTAGTTCACTTCCAGAATAATTTTTTTGTGATAATTTACTCACCCCCATTTCATCCAAGATGTTCATGTCTTTCTTTCTTTCTTCAGTAGAAAAGAAATTAAGGTTTTAAGGAAAACATTCCAGGATTGTTCTCCATATAGTGGACAGCATTTGTGGTTGAAAATTATATAATTGTTTTTTTTTGTAGAAAATAAACTATCGATTTGGCTAGATAAGATCCTTATACCTCGGCTGGGATCGTGTAGAGCCCTTTGAAGCTGCATTGAAACTGCAATTTGGACCTTCAACCCATTGGCCACAATTGAAGTCCAACTATATGGAGAAAAATCCTGGAATGTTTTCCTCAAAAACCTTAATTACTTTTCGACTGAAGAAAGAAGACATCCATGATCTTGGATGAAATGGGGGGTGAGTAACTTATCAGGAAATGTTTATTCTAGAAGTGAACTAATCCTTTAATGAGGTTTTTTTGCATTTCAGTAATGAGAATTGGAGGGAAAATGTTCCTTTTCATGAAGGCTGAACTGTACCTCCAGGTATGATGACAGACAACGCGGTGGCAGATGCAGATTTGATGACCTTGTTGCCGGGACGTGAGCTGCGTTTCTCCCCATCGCTTGACAGCTGCTGATGACGTGCTTGCCGAAGCACCAGATCCTTGGTCGCTCGCTGTCCGACAGTGTCACCCATGACCATGTCCCTACCGACCACTGCTATGGCTCCTGTAGATGGCATGGCCTGTGGTGCTGATATCTCACCTGGTCTCAATGGCTTGTCTGCCATATTTACATACACAGAAAAAATCTCTAATTAGAAACTCAGTCTAATTAGTCTATACATATACAGTCTATACATTTTTTTCAATTTTTGTTTTCAACACACCTGGGGCTTTACTAGCTGACATCACTTCCTTCGCACCGTTCCTCTGTTCATTAGCACTGGGCGATGGTGGAGCAATGGCTCCCTCTAATGATGATCCCGGGGCTTTAACGGCACCCTGTTTTTCGGAGAGCTCTCCATCGCCCTCTTGAGGAGCGGCAAACCGGTGCGTGTCCATCAGGGCTGAAAAACGGCGCCGGGCGCCCATCGGAGGACTGCAGTCTCCCTCCATATACAGAGACTCAGAGCATGATAGACGCTTCCTGTGTAAATAAAAAAGAAAATGAGAGGGAATGTTTAAATACGGTAATTTTGAGAAAGTATCTTCATATGCAGTGATGTACGAATATATTCAAACGTACATCTCAGGTGAGCCCGTCCTCCAGCTCTTGTCCCTCATAGTGAAGCTTCCCAGACTCTCCCGCTTGGCCATCTTGTCATCGCGGCGACCTTTGTGCTCTCGACGGGTGACTACAGGGGTCTTCTGCTCCAGCTGGGACAGGTGCTCCATGCTGCTATACACCTGAAAGACAAAGAGCAATGCCAAAGGATGCTTCGTTTACACCTTGCATGTGGTGTAAAGATTTGTAAGTCTGATTATTTTTAACAATAATCTTCAAAATAAGCATTCTGAAGCCATACAATAGCCTTGTCTTTGAATTTTGCGCACAAATCATCAGAACTACTTGCACTATGGTTCAAGTTGACAGTGGCAGTAAAGACATTCATAATGTTACAAAAGATGCCCATTTCAAATAAATGCTTTTCTTTTTAATTTTGAATAAATAAAAATAAATAAATAAATCCGGAAAAATTGTATCAGGTTATCCACTAAAATATTAAGCAGCACAACTGTTTTCAACATTGATAATCATAAGAATTGCTTCTTGAGCAGCAGATCAGTATATTAGAATGATTTCTGAAGGATCATGTGACACTAAAGACTGGAGGAAAGATGCTAAAATTCAGCTTTGCATCACAGGAATAAATTACATTTGAAATTATATATTTAAATTATTAAATAATTTTTACTTGTAATAATATTTCATAAAATCACTGTTTTTACTGTATCTGTCAAAAACATTTAAAAAAATTGACACAAATGTTTGAACGATAATGTATATGATGCTTTATGGTGTTTCTTTTGTTATTTTAGTGCTTGAAATCAGTTGAAACGTTGTTTTTCATCCAGTCATTTTGCTGTTTGCATAATTGCATTTGTCTTGTTTATATAATCCAAGGTCTTTCTTCAGCAAGTGGTCCTGAAGAGGGTCGCATGTCTTAAGAAGAACCCTCAGCACATTCACACCGAAGAAGATCAGAGAATGTTTATTATGTAAGCGTGCAATTGTGTGCGCTTATCTATGAGGGGCCGTACAAGCCATAATTCATTCTGGCACTCTCACACACTTACATTCTCCTTTCACATACATATATTTTTGCTTTCACACATTAATTTTAAAATATCATTATGTAACCTACGTGTTCTACAGATCTGTGTACAAGTGTTATGATACTGATTTTGATCGTATTGACAGGTCTCAATGCTAAGGAAATTTTCTACTGGCCCAGTTTGGCCAGTGGTTTAAATTTTTTACTTGCCCTGGCAAGTCCTTCGGATGAGACGTTAAACCAAGGTCCTGGCTCTCTGTGGTCATTAAAAATCCCAGGATGTCTTTCGAAAAGAGTAGAGGCGTGACCTCGGCATCCTGGCCAAATTCGCCCATTGGCTCTGACCATCATGGCCTCCTAACAATCCCCATATCTACTGATTTATTTTTACATTTATTAAATGTTTATTTTGCTCTGTTACTGGCCAGACTAACCTTGAACAAACAAACAAACGCGGGAAGATGTTTTAGGTTGGGGGTGCTATATGCTATAAGAGCGTGGGGGGGGTTGCGATAGAGGCTACTT